AAAAAAAAAAAAAAAAAAAAAAATTACCTAATATTACAAACAGGCTGGGTGGGCAACAGATAAACAGGGTCTCTGAAGCAGTGGACTTGCCAAACACAAACCAAGGAGGCGTGATTAACTGCATGGTGTGGCCAGGGAGCCAGAGTACTGAGGCTCAGCCAGGTGTTGTGCACACTTGTAAGTGGGAGGCTGAGGTAAGAGAATCCCTGTGTTCAAGGCCCACTTGAAATATAAAGCAAGAGCCTGACTCAAAAAAAAAAAAACAAAAACAAAACTCCGAGTAAACAGAGTAGTAGTAAGGCTGTCTGCCTGCTTTGAATGAACTATGTCTTACCTACCTCCTCTTTCATAGGGGAGTTAGGAGACACAGAGCTGTGTGCAAAGGCTAGAGTGAGCTCTACAATCTGTCTCCCTTCATGTTCAACTTGTTGTTATCCAAGGTTACAGATGAACTCCTGTTGGAGACAACTTATGAAGACTTTCAATGGCCTGCACTGTAGATGAGTCTGAATTCAGGCTGGCCTGGAACTCACTTTGTAGCCCAGGCTGGTCTCAAACTTGCAATGCTCCTCCTGCCTCAGCCTGCCGAGTGCAAGGATACAGGCATGTGCCACCATACCCAGCTATCTTCTTTCATATATAAAGCAGACTGTTTCCGAACCATTAAATTTAAACATAGTGTATTTAAACCAGGGAATATAATATAATCAGAAACTATGAAAAAATTACTTGGAAGCACTTTTTTATAGAAAACACTCCTGCTTTTACTGTTTTTTGTGGTACTAGTATTTGCTTTTACTGTTGTTTTTTGTGGTACTTGGGACTGACTGAACCCAAGACCTCTGCCTAGTTACATTCCCAGCCCTTTTTATTTTGAGATAGGGTCAGGCAAAGTTCCTAAATTGCTCAGGGTGGCCTCAAACTTGTGACACTTCTGCCCCTGCAGCCTGTAAATGCTGAGATATAAGCACATGCCAGTGCACCTGGCTAAATCAGACCTTTACAAGTAAGAATATGCATTATTTCTTCCATGTTGTAACTGTGATGTCCTAGCCCTACTGCAAGCAAGACAGGCCACCCCAGAGCTTGACATCTTAAAGGTCTTTGAAGGACTCAATCACCAAAGGTTTAAAGCACTATTTAAAAAAGCTGCTTTCACACAGCTGAGTCTGTTTCTTCTTCCCTTTGAGACCAGGTCTCACTGTGTAATCCAGGTTAGCCTGGAACTTGCAATCCTCCTGCCTCAGTCTCCTGCGTGTTGGGACTGTAGGTGTGCACCACTGTGCCCAGCTCAGCGATGTCTGAAAACATGGAAATGATCCAGGAATTGCTGAAGGACAACCAGTAAGATCAAAGGTACAGCTCAAAACTATCTGCTCTAAAAAGAAGGAAAACATGGAAACAAAGCTCTTGTAAATGGGGAGGGGAGGAGTTGAAGGGAGGGTAGGGGAATGGGGAAAAAACAAGTTACATCATGTACAGGTAAAAAGCAATGATTTTTCACTAGTGGTGCATGCTTCCTCAAAATTTTAGCAATCTGAATAGAAGACCCTAAAGGCAGGAGTTTAACTGCAGACCCCAAAAACTAAAGGACTGATCAAAGTCTGAACTTACAGAGCACAAAGAGACAGCAGTCTGTGAGAAAGGAGAACCTGAATCCTGCACATTGTGAAAAGCGAAACAGATCTTCATGAAGAGAATCCCCATAACCTTCTTTCCATTCACCATAAACCACACTTGCACTCCCTTTGTGATACTTGGTTAATCAACACTACTAGGGGCTGGGGATTTAGCTCAGTGGCAAAAAG